AAACAAAAACGTGAAAATTGCCCACGATTCTGTTAAATGACACTCTGATGATGAGAGTTCTTATGAAACTCAACATATTTCAGAATTCAACGTATTTCTGAATTTGGTCATGTCCATTTTGGTTCAGCAGACACATGGCACTTATCCTTTATGGATAATGCCAGACAATATTACATATAATTCTGCATTTGTGTGGCAGTTGTCCTATGTGCAGGTGGGCTGCAATGATTTCTCAGTTACTGGATCCCTATTTTATGATTAATCACCATGATTTTTTCATTTGTTTGCTTTTGTTTTTTGAGACAGAGCCTTGCTGTTGTTTTGAGAAAGCCCTGGCTGGCCTGGTACTCACTATGTAGTCCAGGCTGGTACTGAACTCACAGCAATCCTCCTACCTCATCCTCCTACAGGTTAGGATTCTGGATATGAGTCACCATGCCCAGAGCTACCACTGTAAACTGTGATTTGATCGTGCATGGTTTGGTTTTCTTGTTTAGTTTTACTATGGACACTATAAATGCAATAATAGAAATACTGTCCAACCTCTGAGAGTACATAGAAATACCCATACCAGTGCCAAAGTCAGTAAAGGTAGAAACAACTTCCCATGAAAGCAATGAACATGAAATTGAGATTAAGAGTTTCATGTTCTACTGACTGAGCTAGCCCAGTCTGCTGTTACTTTAAGATATGAGAAAAGAGAGAAGAGAGGAGCAGGGAGGAGAGGGGAGGGGAAGGGGGAGGGCGGGAGAGCAAAAGAAAAGACGGGAGAGAAGAAAAGAGTACAGGCAAGGCTGGAGAAGGGAGACCCAGCCTATGTTCTTCCCAGTTCTGATTCCTTGTAGCCTATGGAGTTGTAACCTAACCAACCTGAACTCTATACCACAGTTCATCGAATAAAATCCCGTGGTCCTCAGATTTCAAAGGTATCACCTTTCTAAAGTCAGGAAATACCAAAGGCAGAGAAGAAAATCCTACCTCGTGGTCATATAGATTACAGAGAATAATCACCACCTTTAGGTAAAAGGAATTGAAAGAGGAAATTTTTCCTAAATTCTCCACCAACCTCACCTAAAAGTTTAGGATACAGAACAGGAATTCCACAGTGGAAAAAAATTATACTAGGTTCTTAAGTGTCATGTACTCATAATTCATTCTTCTAAAATGTTCTAGGGGCTGGTGAGCTGACTCAGAGGTTAAGAGCACGGGCTGTTCCTGCAGAGGCTTGGTTCTCAGCCTCTGTGCGGCATCTAACAAATGTCTGTACCTTCAGTTCCAGGGGATCTGATGCCCTCTTCTGGCCTCCAGTGGCATTGCATATGGTGCACTTACATACATGTAGGCAAAACACTTATATATAAAAAAATAAAAATATATAAATAAAATGCTCTGAAATTCTATCTACCTTTGCTGGCAACAGTGCTGTGTATTCAGTTGATATTCAGTTAGTAAATAGTTGAGAGTTGTGAGTAGACCTGGCTTTTGTAAAATAAAAGGCATTATTATTATCATTATTATTGAAATCTTCATACAGACTGGGTGGAAATTCTTTATGTCTGGGAACCACCAAGAAATCTGGTACTTGTGGGCTTACTGGACATTCTGAACAGGCAATGGAAAGAATGGAACGGAAGTCAAAGGTTTACGTGCACATCCTGGCTCTGTCACTAAAATCCAATTTGTGGCTATTTATCAAAAGACAAATAAAAAAACTGTTCCAGACTTTTGAGTTCTACCAGCCAGACCTGTTAATAATCCATCTCTCAACTTTCACTAGAGAAGCTTCTTCTGGAAGCTGATGACAATTAACTTAAAGACTCACAACTGGTCAACATGCAAAGTATAAGAGACTGTGGAGTGCTCAGTCCTAAATCACACCCTCTCCTCTCAAGGTTCAGAGATCATTTCAGAGAAGAGGGCAGAAAAATAGTAAAAGCCAAGTGGTAGGTGACTACAATGAAACATTGTTTTCCAGACAGCAGACAGTCACACACATTGCATACATTGCATTCACAGCAATTGTGACATCATACACAAGACAATCTCAAACTAGACAAAATACTATCATGGAGAGGGACATGGACAAAAAGTACTAACCCTAGCTGGGGAACTACGGGCAGTTGATAGCTGCTGGGAGAGGGAGAGTCTGTTTTTTTGTTTTTTTGTTTTTTTTTTTTTGCTTTTTGTCTTTTTGAGGCAGGGTTTCCCTATAGCCCCAGCTGTTCTGGAACCTGCTAGGTGGACCAGGCTGGCCTTGAACTCACCTGCCTCTGCCTCCTGAGTGCTGGAACTAAAGGTGTGGGCCACTGAGCCCAGCTGAATCTGTTTTCTTTAAGGGTATGATGCCAGGTAGGTTGCCCAGACTCCAGATGATGGATCCACACCAAGAGCATTTGAGGAACACAAATTAGATTTAATAGGCCTTAAAAAATAATAGGGCACACCTGGCGTGGTGACCCACACTTTTAGTCCCAGCACCTGGGAGTCAGGACAGCTGGGGCTACAGGGAGATCCTGTCTCAAAAAAAAAACCCTCCTCCCAAATAATATAATAGGGCATTAAGTCAGGGTGGAGTACTGAGGTAGGGGTGGAGATGGGGGAGGGTTTTGAATATGATCAAAATACATTGTACATATGAAATTCTCAAAGAGCAAAAACAATCAACCAAAAAACTGT